TGCTCCATGGCCTTCGCCACTAAACCCTAAGCCCCAGAATCTCTTCAAAGACAAGCAGGGTTCAGGGTTTAGGGTTTAGGTTGGGTACTGCCCCCATACAGTAACAGTCTATAATAGGGCTACTATTAAGGGCCTAATATATCCATAGTATAAATAATTATCCAACTGTTACTGAGTGGGCGCAGGGTTCCTGGCTTATGCATCGAAGAGGAGTTGTCCTTAGGTCCATACAGAGCGAACTGCGGCACATTCGCATCTTTGCCAGCTTTGGAATCTTGAAGCTGCGCCCTAAACCCTAAACCCTAAACCCTAAACCCTAAAGCCTAAACCCTAAACCCTAAACCCTAAAGCCTAAACTCTAAAGCCTAAACCCTAAACCCTAAACTCTAAAGCCTAAAGCCTCAGCCTAAGTTACATCTTACGCTACAGCAGATAAGAAGGATTCAGGCTCGGGGCCGAGGTTTTTGGGTCTTTGGAATGGCATGTCCCGGGCCACACCCTACTTAAGTAGTTCAGGGTTTTTTGGGTTTAGGGTTTAGGGTCTAAGTAGTTCAGGAGACTTACTGACGCTCTTTGGGGATTACAAGTAGATACGACTGTAGACTATATTTACTAGAGATATACCCCCCCCCCTTACTAAGTCCCCTGTTCCTCTAAGTAGACCTAAAGATTAGCCCACGAGCCATCCGCCATGTCTCTGGTAGAAGTCAAACTTGTCGCCGTCCAAGGTGTAGATGTGAGGGTCGCCTGGCAGCTTAGGGTTTAGCGTTGAGGCTTCAGAAAAAATTGAGCCAAGTAAAGATCTCGACAGCTAGATGGTGACAGCAACTAGATGCTGACGGAGTACGAGGATATCGAAACCATAGACCACTAAGGTAGCTCTAGAAAGAATCTCTATTCTGACGACCCCCTACAACCAAACACCCTCAGCCCAAAACCCAAACAGCCATAAAACCAAACCCGCGAAAAGCAAAACCTAAAACCCCAAATTCCAAAACCCACGCCTCCTTGCCAAAATAAACAAGGATGGCCCAAAACCCTCAACCCTAAACCCCTACACATTGAAGGTACCCTTATAGGAACCCTTAAAGGCACCCTTTGAAAAGAAACCCTTAACAAGGAACCCTTTGAAGAGGAACCCCTTAGGAACCTTTGAAAAGGAACCCTTGCAAGGAAACCCGGACCAAAAAAATAATATAAAATAACAGACCCTCAGACCTGAGAGGCTTTAGGGGTTTAGGGGTTTTGGGTTTTGGGTTTTGGGTTTAGGGGTCCCTAAACCCTAAACCCTAAACCCTAAACCCTAAGCCCTAAAGGGGTTTAGGGTTTCCCAGCCTACGATGCTCCCTGGAGCTTTGCAGGCCCGGATCCGGCGGATGGCTCCCGAGCCGCCCATGTAGACGATCATCTCCTTCACCTGAGCTTTAGGGTTTAGGGTTTAGGGTTTAGGGTTTAGGGTTTAGGGTTTAGGGTTTAGACCAATTTCAGGGTTCCTACATGGTCATCATCACCATCATGAGGGTTTAGGGTGTAGGGCTTCTACATTTTGCAAGTGTAGCTCATCTCTTTCACCTGGCTCTTCTTTGTACCAAAAAGCGGTTTCGGATCTCTTTAAACAAAAGCCAGGTTTAAGGTTTCGGGCCTGCTTCGTCCTTCAAGCAGGAAAAAGCTTTCAGGAACAAGAGTTCTGCAGGGTAGACCATCTGCTGCAGCTCCTTGAAAGGTTGAAGGCTTAGGGTTTAGGGTTTAGGGTTTAGGGTTTAGGGTTGCTTCTACAACGGCATAGCATCTCCTTCACCTGGCTCTTTTTACCTTTTCTGCTGAGACACAGGTGTAGGGCTTCGTGCTTCCAAAGTTCTCCCAAACCCTAAACCTTAAACGGTGGCTTAGGGGCTTCTAGACGGGACTCTACCAGGCCCCCAAACCCTAAACCCTCAACCCTAAACAGGTTCATAAGGAATATGATACAGGGTATCAGGTTGCTTTGAGCTCCTGAATTTCCTGAGGCTTCGGGTTTAGGGTTTTTTTTTGTTTTTACGGGCCCTTTTCCAACTGCAGAACAGCTAGAAGTCCTTACCAGGCTGAGCCGACATGGGTTTAGGGGTTTAGGGTTTAGGGTTTAGGGTTTAGGGTTTAGGGTTTAGGGTTTAGGGTTCAGAGGCATTTACGGTGCTGGAAAGGAAAGGCCTGCGAGTTTGAGCTCTGAGAGCGCGCCCCCGCTTTCAGGAGATTAGACGTTGAGGCTTTAGTGCTTAAGGGTTTAGGGTTTAGGGTTTAGGGTTTAGGGTTTAGGGTTTAGGGTTTAGAGTTAAGGGTTCGGGGTTTAGGGTTTAGGATTTAGGGGATTAGTGTTTAAGGGTTTTGGGTTTTGGGCTAGCTCATCATGAGAAGCCCTAAAGACATAGCCTTATCCAACATGTTTATTAAAAGGTATTGGGATCTTAACAACAAATTCTATGTAGCTTCCAGGATATTTGGAAGGCTCTTTCGTGGATACGCGCATGCAAAGCTAAGACAAATGGCACAAAACCGACGACAAGTGCGGCTTCACTTATCTTCAGAGCTGTAGCTTCGTGAGAGACTGCAGACTCGATTTTTGGTGTCTCTCCCTTAACCCTACACTACACCCCACACTCTAAGTGCAATGAAAGCGTAATGCTGGCCCAGTCACGCCCTCCGTCAACAACTCGACAATCGCCGGGTTGCCGTCCTGTTCCGGCCCGTCCGGGGCTGAGACGTTCTTGAGAAGGTCGCCGTCGGCTCCATAAAGCTCGATAAAGGTGGGCTCCTGTTTAGGGTTTAGGGTGATTGAGGGCTTATATTAGGGTTTAGGGGGGTTTAGCATCCAGAATTCAGGGTTCCGCTCCTCTAGATCCCAGAGCTCGATGTCAACTAGGCTTTGCAGCTTCCTGAACTTGAAGCTGATCATCACGCCCGGGTGTTCACCACAGTCGTTGACCTTACGACGGTTGCCGTCCTTGGACCAAAGCATCAGGGTGCAATTCTCGCACCTCTTCAGGTCCTTGTCAAAGCTGCGGCCATCGGGATCGCGAGTGTCCAAGATCAACAAGGGCCCGGAGCAATTCTTCGGGTGGCCCGGTTCCGGCTCTGTCGCGCGGCGGGTGGCCTCGATGGTCACGCCCCTGATGGAGTCCGGCAAGATCTCGTCGCCGTGGCTGAAGCTGTTGAAGGTGAGCTCACCGGGGGGTCCCGGGCAAAAGGGCGGTGCGGGCTCACAACTTCGGATCTTGCGGACCGCTCCGGAGCCACCCATGTAGACGATCATCTCCTTCACACCCTCTGTCATGAGGTCGACCACCGCCGGGTTGCCGTCCTGGTCCGGGCCATTCGGGGCGGAGATATTCTTGAGCAGCTCGCCACCGGCTCCATAGAGCTCGATGAAGGTCGGCTCCTCGAGATCCCAGAGCTCGATGTCAATCAGATCTTGCAGCTCCTCGTACTTGAAGCTGATCATCACGCCCGGATGCTCGCCGCAGTCGTTGACCTTGTTCCGGTTGCCGTCCTTGGACCAAAGCATCAGGGTGCAATTCTCGCAATTCTTCAGGTCCTTGTCGAAGCTGCGAAAGTCGGGATCGCGAGTGTCCAAGATCAACAAGGGCCCCGAGCAATTCTTCGGGTGGCCCGGTTCCGGTTCGGTGGCGCGGCGAGTGGCCTCGATGGTCACACCTGGGATCGAGTCCGGCAAGATCTCGTCGCCGTGGCTGAAGTTGTTGAAGTTGAGCACCTTTTGAGTTCCCTCGCAGTAGTCCTTGGCTATCAACTTGTGCTGCCTCTGCTTCTTCTGCAGCATGCAAGACCCTTCCTCCTCCGCGAGCACATAGGCAAGAAGCCCAACTAGCAACGACTTCCACATGGCCTCCGGTTCAGTAGCGGTCGTCTGCTTGCAGGTCGCTTTGTGCCGCAAGCTCGATCCGAGACATGAAGCGTACGGTACAGTGAGCAAGAGCAGTGATCAAGACCATGGTACAAGCATATACAAGGCATAGCGGCATACCGCAATTTTTTGACTGAACAGTCTCGCCCAACCCGCTGAAGGTTTAGCTGCAGCAGCAGCATGGACTTTTCACCAGCAACGAACAAGCTCGCTCTCAAACAAGGCCGCTCTGCCGGCTCACTCTGTGTCTTTGGCGACTGCCTCAGCTGCCTTGTTCAGCAGGCGAAAGCTGGCCGCGAGCACCTCAAGGCCCAGTAGTGTAACCGATAAAGCAAGGTCCGCGCAGGGTGCTGTGCAATCCTGCGGCTTCTCCAGCGGCTCCTAGCTGACCTTAACAATGCTTACACCCCCCGGCCGGAGCTTCAACCACTTGCCCTGCTAGCAAGCCACATAGAAGAAGAACATGGCCATCGACATGATGATAGAAGAGAGCGCGAACCAGCTGAACTTAAAGAAGGCAAGATCCGCCACGCCCATGAGGATCTCAGGCAAGTCTTCGACCACACGCAGGCCCAAATCTAGGCCGCGCCGTTCTGCTTGCATGTCCTCGACATCCTCTGGTTGGAGCCAAAGCGCCACAAGGACGTTGAACAACGGAAGTTCAAGGGCTGCTGATCTGCGACGAGGACCTTTGCAGAAAGTGGCGAGACCAGCCGCAGCGATCCAGGCGATTATCACGACGATGGGCAGCAGGCAGGCAAAGGTCACAACCGAAGTGCCATCGTCCCCAAAAAAACCTACGAAAAGCAATGCGATCCAAATGCAAAGAACACTACAACAGGAGAGGCCCCAGCTCAATTTGGCTGAGAAGTCCCTGAGCATTCCACGAAAATGCCAAGAAATTGTCCACAGTACTGTGAAAGCAATAGATGATGTTGACAGGACCCAAAGGACACCTGCTAGAAAGTTGCAATCCACCAAACCACACTTCTGCGGTCCGGTGCGCCTGTACAGGTCATGCGCGAAGCCGGAAGCATCTTCACAGTTATCAAGCTCTCGGTTCAGGGGACACATATCTGCTTCTGCTTCGTCGCCTTCGCACAAACTACCCAGAAGAACGTCAGCACTGCACCACGGCAGCGTATTGAAATTCGCAACCTCGAGGCACTCAGTCGGATCTGCAGGCATCAAGATATTGTTGTCTACGCACTGTACAGTGAAGGTCATGCGGGTTGCCCGCTGGTATGCTTCAACGGTGTACATCATGGATGACACCAGGTTGGTACTTTCTAGAATCATTTTCAAAGCCAGCAGTTTTGGCGATGTAAGCACAACTTGTAAGAGGGGCCTTCTGGTGCTGGCGTCGGGCCTGGCGCTGACATCCTCTGCTTGGTCCACACACACCAACAACTCTGACGAAATTGGGCGATCGGCCTTGGTGCAGGCACATGTCAGACAGTTTGGGTGCTTGCAGGCTTGGCGCCACTGGGGACCTTGCATGCGGAGTTGACAAGCCACTGCCAAAGACGGCAGGTTTGGGCTGTGCACGCCCAATGCGGTCCTCTGAGTCCCGACATCCCGCCAACACACGCTTAGCTTTCAACAGTTGGGGCACTGCAGTGTCGTGTTCACCTTCTCCTGCACCATTTTGGTGCGGCGCCTGGGAGACCGGGATTACTGAAGGCCCACGTACAGTCCCAAGCAGAAGAGTGTGTCCCAGACTGCGGTTCAAGACCATGAAACCACATGCCGCAACACCTGCACATGATCAAACCCTCACCCTGCTGACCTGCTTCTCCAGGAGGTCTTCATCTTCATTGCCTCAGACAGAACACCACCCATCCTCAGCCAGCCTCCCCCTGCCACACCAGACATCGTCAGACCATGATTTGCTTTTAGGCGTCCAGTTCGAAACGAAGAGCAATTCTCGGGCTACAACAGCTGCTATGATATATAATCCCTGTTATCTAATATACAACGTCTCATGCATAATTTTCCACATATAACATACAATCTGTCATTCATATACATATTTTCAAAGATAACGTATCATGCTTGAAAGAAGGACATGCAGCTAATGTTGTAATGGACCAGCTTCGAGCTGGCACCTGGATGATTTTGTCAGATTTATTTATGGTGTCGAGGGCATGCGATCTTCCTACAATGCACTGGGCTAAAACACCAGAACTCCACTGTTTAGGGAACCAGCCTTAAGGCTCTGAACCATTGTCGCTCTTATCATCTGCTTCATCATCTTCATCATCATAGCTGCTGCACAGGACTGTTCACATCTGTAGTAGGGCATGGACATAGCAGGCGTGAGAAATTGACCACACCAGCAATGACACCGAGGAGAACCAAGGACATGCCAAGCGCAAAGACCGATAAAGTTCCAGCGGTGCTCCACACGAAAGTCCTACACAACGCATGCATGCGATTGGCTGCAAAGCTGTGCTGCTGAGGACAAAGCCATATTAAACGGCCACATGCATTCACGAGCTGTCAACCTCTCCACCCTCAACCTTAAACCCTGCGGCCAACGTTGTCACTTCCAGATCGACCGGTCCTCGCTGTTAGCTTCCACTTGCTCTCGGTCCAGGTTCTCGTCGTGGTGGTCCGTGTCGTGGTCGTCATGGTGGATGTCGTCCGTGTTCTGGTTGTCAAACTTGTCGAGGTGGAGGTTGTAAAAACCTACGGTGCTTGCAAGACCGGTGTAGTACTCTGCCGATGGTAGATACTAGACGCCGGTGCGCACAGACAGCGACCAATCCGGATGCGACTTCTCGAGGGACACAAAGAAACTGAGTAGTGAATATGAGCAAACTTCGGGGAGCCCTCCCCTCGCGCCTGCAGCTTCCACAATGTGTCCTCTCTTCCGTCATAATCCAACAGCGCCTGCCGCACCCATCGCTCGGGCTGACTTCATAGAACCTACCGGCGAATGGCATGAATCGGCCTGATCAACAACGTCAAAGAAGAGATACCCTTCCTTCGCGAAGCCTTGCTGGCTCCAGGTCATCTCCTTAAACGTCTTCGCATGTGGCACTAGGATCTGGGGTTGGGCAGCACTTATACACAAAGGCGTATTAACACCTCGAAAGTCCTGCCTGCAAATTCAACTTTCACAAGGAAGTTGAGAAGGGTCCTATCACCATCCATAGCACCTTGCCACATCTTGACGCTTGATGCAAGCACCAGATCTGCATTGCTCGCACTCTGCGAATCCAGCCCCACCTCGTGGCTTGGAGCATAAGCCGCACGCCGCCAGCCCGCAGGCGGCGGTTTCGGTGTGGGAAATACTTGCTCGTGCCACGACATTACCTGCACAGAGATAAACGAAACAAGCAAGCCTCCTAGCACGGATTCTTTGACAAGTCTTGGATGCAAACTTCAGAAACCCACCACATCCAGATCATGACCTGTAGGTCCAGAAACCAACAATCATCCAGATCGCCGCTTGACGATTGCCCCCCGTAGAGGAAGAGAGCCTCGACGAAGCTTGCCGCTCACATTGAACACTGGAATTCTCGACCGAACAGCACAGGCCTGCATACCGGAGATGTAAGTCATGATGGAGCTGTGTCGCGCGGACGGCTTGGTTGAGAATGTTTGTTCGCTCCATTCCAATGGGACGGCCTGAGGCTGCTGAGAATGGGATTGCGCTCAAGCCCTTGCACCTGCACTTCACTGCCGGAACGCAAAAAGCAAAAAAACCCACCTCCAACTCCAGCTTCCATAAGTCATCCAGAAAATTCGAGCTGGAACCTCCATGAATCCACAGCACCTCTCAACTCTCAACATCGTCAACTCGGGACAGTTCTTGCATATCCGGACCACGCTATGCCTAGTTGTGGACAGAAACTGGGCCTTTCTGTGCTCCACTGCACAATCGGAAATGCACCAGAGTAGTTCTTTGAAATAGTGCCGGCAAAGACCCCAAACAGCACGGACGTAAAGATAGGAGAGACATGCTATCACAAACGGTGAGTTATGGTGTCCATTGGCAGGCAATTCCTCAGAATGCCAGTGAACTGCCTTTCTCTCAGACAGCTGTCGGCCCCAACACACACGCCCACAATCGAACACACTCTGGTGTGTACAAACTGCAGGAGGGCCAGGGCTACCTGTCGGTCAGGGTCGTACACGAATCCGTGAGCTAGCCGCTTGGGTGGCTGCACATCCAAGATCAGCTGGCTCCACACCATATCCTGCAGCATTTCGGGCAAAAGTGTTTGCATCTGAGATTTTGGTTAGTCTTTTGAGTGGGCGGTGTCGTTGACAGCAGAAGCTGGCCAGCAAGCTGACCGCCCACGTGTGCCTGTACACCAGTTGGTCACACAGCTACCCTGTCCCAAAATCCCATCCGTCACCTGCTTCAAGCTTGCAGCAGCTGACCCTTCCTCGTTTCTGACTTGACACAGCTCCCACAACAGAATGACGATCCGGTCCATCTTCGTAATGGGGGCTACTCAGTTGCTCATGGAGGCGGCAACCCCAAACCCGAAAACTGCGCACCTGCAGGTTCAGCTTCCACAGTCCATCATCCACAAGGCCGTTAATGTCATGGGTTGTGGTACCCCCATGCATCCAGAGGACCTGGAATTCAAAAAATTCAAGAATTCCGCTCACTCACATCGGTCCCAACTTCATCATGCCGTGTCTGCGAACAAAAGTGACAAGTCTGAAGCTCGTGCATCTCGATCCAGGTCGTAAACCAACTTGTGCTCTCGACGTCTGATATCAGATCCATGAGCTGTGGCTTGCTCACTCCAGGACAGTGCCTGGCAGGGGTGCAATTCTCACCAACATTCGTGACACGCAGCGGTGTTTTGTTTGTGCTGCAACCAGCAGCCAATTTAGACGAGATGGCCTGGATGTCCAGCTTCCAGATATCATTTAGGTTTACGTATTCTGGCACGGCGAACCCACCGTGGATCCAAATTGCCTTGGCGCATTCGAAGATGGCAGAACAGCTGAGAGTTTCTATACTCCGCTGTGGCTCCGGCGCGTCGGGTGGTGTCGTGCCCATAGGCAAAGCCACCGGTCTTGCGGGTCTGCTGTGACACAGCTACGGCCCAGTCCTCCGCGCAGTAGCATGCACTGGCCACAGATCGACATACGCACACTACTCAACTAGAGCAAGGGCAGCAACTCCAAGTGCCACACCCCCGCGCAGCGAACGATCGGCAGGAGGAGCCAGACACTAGGCCCAAACCTGCTCGCACAGTGGAAACCAAGTTGCGAAAAGGACTTCCTTGACTGCACATTGGGACGGGTTCGGCTGATCTCTGGTTCAATCGGACAGCTTGACTTGTCCGCACAACACTCTCTGCAGACCTGTCCCTGCCTGATGCAGCCCATGTCGAGAACAACGACGCAATGCAATGTCCTCTCCAGCATCCAAGTCAAGTGCAAAAAACCACAGCCTGTAAGTCGCCGTGCACCTATGAGCCTTCCGTACTGAAGCCCGACAAGAAGCAGCAAGTCATTGTAGATCCTACAAAAGGCCTGGATCCAATACTTTGGGTCCTTCAGGAGGTTGCAATTGCTGCACCGGCTTAGGAGAAAAACTACCTGTAGGGCCAGCTGCCCCCTTGGCAGACAGCTGCGACATTGCGAGACAACTGGATCCCAAGTCAAGTACAGCTTGAACTACAACTTGAGCTACAAATAAAATGACGACGACGATGATGACGACTACTCCTACCCCGCATTAGGATTTGCGCTTGGGGCGTATTTGTGAACACTGAGGGACAGTGTCTGCAGCGACTCACGGTTCCATAGGAAACTTTTCGAAAGGAAGCCGGTCGCTAAACGTGTGCTAAAAGTCGCTGGTCTGGTGCCTTCAGGTTCAAGAGGCTCTTATCGGTCGTTGGTTGCGGGGTTCATGTGTTCGCTGCCATCGCTCCCCATCCGAGATTGAATCCGAATTCGGATGTGACCTGCAGCACACATACGCCGCCAATGAGTTCGGCGATAGCACGGCTGGCAAAGGTGACTGTGCGGATAGACTATGGCACAAACCGGTTTTGGTGGCCGGGGCTCTGGAGGACTGACATGTGGTGCTGAATGTAACAATGGGCGGGCTCTGTCCGCCAGTCATTTCTTAGAGATGCGGGGCTCTGCAAGACTGAGGGTTTAGGATTCCCATCTTTATAACGCCAAATACGAGGGAACGCATTCGCCAGAAAGCTGACACCTCTGCACATCCGAGGCACCGCGCACCACACTCACGCCCTTTTCTGAGCAAAGGCCATCAGTCATAAATCCAATAGCTGGAAATCTTGTGCCGGTGGGATGCAAACTGCAACCCTTTCGTCAGGCGAGCGGATGGAACCTTTGTAAATAGATACCATCCTGGCTGCTCAACTATGGGCATGTGCTTGCTCTCACAGATGCCGAAACCTTCTGCCAAAGTACGGCTACGGCTGTCAGCAATCTGCATGAAGTTTTGACAAGCACACCTTCGGAAAGTCTGCCCTAAACCGCCCAAACCCCTACACCGTAAACCCTAAACCCCGAAACCCCCAAACCCTAAACCCTAAATGTCCGGATGCATTTCTTTGTCGCATGATGCAGGCTACTTTCCACCGAGAATCCTGCGAACCGGAAACACAGACCAACGAACCCGGCAGCTGCCACCACACTTGCGGACCCTCTCCAACTCCTCCATGACCAACGCCTTGACCACTGTCACAACAACAACCATAGTCATGACAATAACAACCATAGCAACGGAGGAGTAACCTGCAAACATTAGAGCGAATAAAACGAGTACAGGAACACTAAGCATGATGGCGAAAAAGGGTCATGGTTAGGTCACGAATGAAACATTGTTGTGGTGAGGCTGACGATGATAATCAAGAAACCGATGTTGACAGTGTTCTGACGATGGTATGATGAAACTAATAAGGTATCATGATGTCATGATGATGCAGATGATGATGGTGGTGATGATGATGATGGTGATGGCGATGGTGATGGTGATGATGATGATGATGATGATGATGATGACGATACTCTCTCTCTCTCTCTCACGCCGCAGAGGAAGGTCCGCGTTGCGTCCTCTTAGGGCGATGCATTGCACCGGCGTCTCGCGACACAGCACTGTGGCTCCCACAACCTTTAAAAGCGCGATCCCAGCTTCCCCCGCCTCGAAGGGCCTTTAAGCAGGGAAAACCATATGAAAAAGCCCATATTACCAGTCGAGATAGAATACCACATGAAGTATACCCGGATCGCTGGGCAGATGCTACGGAGGCCTATGCAATCCGACGCAAAAGAAATAAATACGAATTGGACAGCACTTGATGACGTTGTATGAATGTTATAGGACTGGCCTCTCTTCCATCATCACTGGTATGCGTTATCTTGCCGGCGCTCAGAAAAGCCACACGGTAGTGACCACTGCGGATGCCTGGGCCTATGTGGTATATGATGCAGACTACCTCATATTTGGCCTTATAGACGTTCGCCGTTGGGCCCTGGGAAACAGGGAGGTTGATGACCCAGGGCGGGGTAATTGTGCCTAGTTGCTTCTGGCCTAGGTCACTAAACCGTGCGATCTGCAAAATCAAGAGCGGCGGGCCAGTCGTTGCAGCATGGATTACATCTTGTCGACGATGGGGCTGCATGGTCCACTTGTCAACTAAGCTTTGCAAGCTAGTGTGCGAGCTGGTCCTCCGGCTGATGGCTGCTGTTAGAGGCAGGGGCATTAGGGAGCCTTCATCTCTGACCTCGGTAGGCTGCCCTGATGCAATCTTAATTCTGGCTTCCCAGGAAGCAAGCAGGTCGCCCTGAATGAGCGGCTCACGGATTGCATGCAAAAACTCAGCGACATCTTGCTGCTCCTGCGGGCCCCAATCAGGGAAGGAGCTTCTCCACTCTATGATGCTCCACAGGCTTATAGGCACACGGGGTCCTGTGAACACCTTTTGAAGTGCAGTGCAGATCGATGTCGTCTGAGGATGCATGGTTAGGCCAGCCTGTGCAAATTGCCATGCTAGTGCCATTAATAGG